CACACCGTCGAAACTTTTTGTATTTGTTATTTGGGTGGAGTCGGACAAATTTTGAGCTTAGCGCATCATGGTAGTGGGGCGTTTGTCTGTCAAGCTGTCACGAAGTTGTCGATTTTATGCAAGAAAAAAATTTATGACCACATTGGTAATTTTTTTAAAATCAATAGTTTTTATCACATAAACAACGAAAAAAAAATGCGTCGGACAAAAATATTGGGGCATTCGACGCGTCGGACACGTTGAATATGTCAAATTTATGGGAAAAAAATTTAATTACCACACGGCTGATTTGAACAGAATCTGCCATAAAAATATTTTACAATAACGTAATAACCTTGTCGGACAATTTTCACGGGGCATATGCGCAGTCGGATGCGCCAAAGATGTCAATTTCCTGCAACAATTTTATTTACAACCACAGATGCAATTTTTATTTTTCACTGTTTCTTTACAGGTGTAACGCATATCGGATCAATTGTCGGACAAAAATAATGGGGCGTTTTGATACAATTTAAAAAAAAGTAGGTAATTTTTGTAATTTTTCACTTCGTCACTTAATTATCAGACGCAAAATTCCAAGATTAGAGCAACAGTTAAACGAAAAGAACAAAGCAATAATTTTCCCAACAATGGCTAATTCTAAAATAATTTAACTAACTTTGCACCCTTGAAAAAGGAAACAATAAAATTTCCGAAAGCTCGGCGTTTGTGAAAAACTAGTTTTATTTTTGCCAAGACTGAATCCCAAGAATCATCTCACTTATTAAACAAGCCAGTCAAGAATTTCTACATCTATAATTTATAGTATAGATGCATACACACATACCCACACACCTATATGTTTTATACAGGGTGAGTTACTAAGAGCGCAGTGGTCCCTATCTCCTATACTAACAGAGATCGAAAAAAAGTAAATACAAAACTTGTAGATAAACATGAGTGCTACATTCCTTAATTATTTTCCAGTATACAAGGTGGCCCAATTAGTGGTGACACAAGGCTATGTTTTTTTAAATGACTAGCCCTGTATATTATGACATTTCTGGATTCTGCGGAAAATTCTAGACATATTTCATGTACAATATCATATACCTATCTTCAACTGTTTCGGAAGTATTGACAGTTTAAAATTGACATTTTTGCATCTTTGACAGACTGTAAAACCTAAATTAATTTTAGAGGAAAACCGATTTTACATTCCTATCTTAGATTTCCATAAGCTATCATTTGACACCAACTTTAAATTTGACCGAAGATTATAAATTTAAGCGGAATTTTCAATCCTGGATTAAATTCAAAGTTGATGTCAAATGATGCCGGTGAAACGAGCGTGCGGAAAAGTATAGTTTTCCGCACGCATTTTAGGTCATGAAAGTATCACTTTTCCGTACTAGTGCTTTCCGTTTTTTTCTGCACTGAGCAGTGGCGTAGCCAGCCTTGCAGGGCGGGAGGGGCAAATATATGAGGGGCGCATAATTATTTTGGAGGAGGGGGGGGGGTAACAAATGAATGTTTGTATGCTTTTGTACTACGTATTTGCTTATTGGGGGAAAATATTGAAGACAAAAAGACCGCCGCAGGGGCCGCCGGAGGCGAAAAATTTCCTCGGAGGCCACGCCCAACAAAGTTAATTCAGCCTTCAAAAAAACATTTTTTGTCACTCCGAAAAACATTGGCATTAACTTCACCTCACGGACGTCTCCAGACGCCTTGAAAATTATAACAAATCCGTGGAAATCCGGACCAATGACAGCCCCTAGTTTAATAAACAAATAAATACATTGAAATTCATAATGCAGTACAACCCCGCTTATCCGAGGTAACGTGGGGGGGTACCCACCTCGGATAACCGAAAACTCGAATAATCCGAATGTACCGGGTATTTTTTTATCTTTGATATCATCTTGATCACTTGTAACTTTTTTGTTTTTGACGTTATCAAGGTAAACAAAAAAACAAAATGTAAGATTAGTAGCCAAGTTTTTTTCCAAGTTATACATAAAACAAAACACCATCAATTTTTTGACATATAAGCCTACATTATATTTTGTTAAATGGAACACCCTGTATATCAAATGTGTGTTCGCTAGAATATTTTATTCACGCACACTTCATATTTTGGTTCACTCGTTTTTGACAGTTACAGGTGATGAAAATGATATCAAAGATAAAAAAACACCCGATACATATACCTATGTATATATATGTATGTATTTAGGAAACTTGGTTAATACGGAGTATGGACGAGCGTATACCTTGGATAATCAGGATTTTTGGATCTTTAGACTGGCTGGGTTAATCCAGAGCTCAGATAATTGCGACTCGGATAATTGGGGTTCTACTGTAATTGTTTTTCAATATTGTTTTTCAGAAATGATTAGTGAACTGACAGAAAAAATCGGCGGTATACGGTATTTTTATTTCAACCACATCAAACATCAAAACAGAAACTATATCATGTTTGCTTTGATTGAACTGAACCATTTGTCGACAATGCCGACTTACGATAAATAATAAAGGATGAAGAGGTCAATAAAATAAATAAGAAACAACATAATTTTATAATTTCTTATTTTTGTTTTTTAAGAGCGGTAGGGGCGCCATACGTGTAGGGGCGGGGGGGGCTGTCGCCCCCCTGCCCCCCTACTGGCTACGCCACTGGCACTGAGTCCGGAAAAGTAGAATACCTGAAATTTTTAGGTATACAGGTACTTACAGGTAAGTCTCTTTTCCTACGAGCGTGCGGAAAACGCGTTTTCACGCACTGATTTGCGTGCGGAAAGTACCACTTTTCTGCACTGCGTGCGTGAATTTTTTGCTGTGCCCGAGAAAAGTTTTTCACGCACTGATTTTTTTTTTTTTTTCAATTTTTCTCTTCATGTCGTGCTCCTCAAAAATTTCAGACCTTTTTGAAATTCCTCCACTGTTTTTTCTCTCCAAGAAAGCTATTAGGTCTTTGCACTGACCAATATCGACCTCTTTAACAAGTTGTATACCATAAATAATAATTCTACTTATAATATTGTTAATGTTCTATTGTTGAATTCATTGCGTTATTGGACTCAATTAAAAAATCACATATTTGACCATTTCTCCTATCAGTGGAGCCAAATACAAACAAAAAAAACAATAAATATGTCAATTTCCGCACGTTCGTAGGAAAAATGTTGTACCTAAAACGAGCGTAAAGTATCTTTGCCGCACTTATGGCTTGCACGAACTCCGCTGGCGCGTCGTTCGTGCAAACGCCGTTGCGTGCGGAAAAGTATAACTTTATGCACTTGTTAGGTAAATAACTATTTCCGCATTTGATTGCTTGCCGAACTCCGCTGCGCGTCGTTCGGCAAACTGCAATCGCCTGCGGAAAAGTGGTACTTTCCGCACTAGTTAGGAAATATACTATATTCATTTTTATGCGAAAAATCATCACAAGCAATTTGAAAATCGCTTCGTCTTAAAATTTCACCGCACGCGTCTCGAATGTTTGTTTGTATTGTAGCGTCGGCGTATATGTAGGTACTTATATGTTTATATAAAGTAATATAAGCATTAACTCATCCTTATAATTTAAGAACGTCGATAGCCTATAAGAATTAAATTTCTTGTGTGTTTGCCCCAACATTTTTGTCGGACAATTACATTTATTAGTTAAGAATATAATTACTGGTAACCTTCTATTTTTGTCGGAAAAATATTTGTAAAAAAAGGGATACCTGAACCCAGTATAGTTAAGAAATATCGATTACCAATAATAATTACATTTTTTGTCCGACTGTCGATATGTCCCAATATTTTTGTCCGACACTTAAATTTTTTTATTTAGAATATAATTACTTAGACCCTCCTATTTTTGTCGGAAAAATGTTTGTAAATAAAATTGTTGCAGGAAATTGACATCTTTGGCGCATCCGACTGCGCATATGCCCCGTGAAAATTGTCCGACAAGGTTACCACGTTATTGTAAAATATTTTTATGGCAGATTCTGTTCAAATCAGCCGTGTGGTAATTAAATTTTTTTCCCATAAATTTGACATATTCAACGTGTCCGACGCGTCGAATGCCCCAATATTTTTGTCCGACGCATTTTTTTTTCGTTGTTTATGTGATAAAAACTATTGATTTTAAAAAAATTACCAATGTGGTCATACATTTTTTTCTTGCATAAAATCGACAACTTCGTGACAGCTTGACAGAGAAACGCCCCACTACCATAATGCGCTAAGCTCAAAATTTGTCCGACTCCACCCAAATAACAAATACAAAAAGTTTCGACGGTGTGGTCATAAATAAAAAAATTAGATCTGGGCCCAAGGACTATAGTAACTAGTGAAGATAACAACAGAATAAAATATAATAAAAACACAGCATATAAAAATGTACCTTGATAAAAATAATGACAAAAACCTTTGACATGACAATATAATAGTTATTTATTGTGTAAGTGTTTTAGGATGCATTTTATCCATGCAAGAACGTTTAATTTTTTTTAAGTGGATATAATGCAACTAAAACACGGATGTAATACAACGTTTTATCCACAATCACGCGTACATACACATGGCGGATGGAAGAGCTCCTCTGTTGCTGGAAGTCATATCGAGTATTCCATTTCCAATAAGCTTAGTATTGGAAACAAAATCCAAAGGGAAAATAGGTGTTCCTTACAAGAGGAGACACCCATTATTCCTGTTCCTCGTAATTCTGCCAAAACACCCATAAACGTGCGTTCCCAAGCGGATGGAAATTATCACCTTTTTATCAGCTATAACGAAGTTATAGGAGACAAATCAAACAACGGAGTATCTATTAATATAAATGTTAATGTTAATATCAATAAATAGAATAAAAATTTCGTATTTCTTAATTTCAATATTCCACAGTGTATAAAGTATCACTTTAGACGCTTCATATGAGTGGATAAAACTGCCATTATTTGATGATTGTGGATAAAAACTATGAAATGCTAAGAGCAGTTATCCAATATACTACATTCTGTATATCATTTTAATATCATTTCATAATTGCGCTTCGCACTCTCTTCTGAGTCGTCGAAGTTGTGAAAGTATTGTGCGATATTATTTGTGTCAGGATAGTCAGATTGTTCACGTTGTTCAGATTGTTCTTGCTGATTATGAGAGAGCTGAGATTGATCGTTGTATGATGGATCAGTGTTGAACCGAGAATAAGTATTAAATGTAGGCTGAGTGATGGGTTGGGGATGGAATGGTGGCTGAGTGTTGACTGGGGGCTGAGGGATCAATAGGGGTTGAGGGTTGAAACTGGGGTAAATATCAGAAGTGGTTGGGATGTTATGTGGTATATCAGCATTTCTTATCAGTTGCCTGTTCCTTGATGGTTCCTCTGGAATTTGTAAAACACAATTTCGGTTCAAATTTTGCATTTGCGCTTCATACAGGACATCGTTAATTATTTTTTCTGCGTATATGGCTTGTTGTGTTGGAAGGTCCCTCAATTTTGATGCCCATACTTTTCCAATATCAGTAAATTTATCAACGATTACTATTGAATAACCTTCAAGCCGTTTTCCAATCATATCTAACACTTCGTCGCATTTATCATTACGTTCATGAAATAATTTCGATGGCTTGGAAGATGTTTGTGATGAAGTTGAACACGGTGAGGTTGGTAAATACACATCGGCTGATTCAAACTCAAGAGGCATTGATTCAGCAGCAGGACTAGTAGGATCCTGAAAAAAAAATATACCGTATAATAAATATATTTTTTTTCTGTGATGGGAAAAAAGTAGACTTTTTCTACCTGTTGACAGGGGCAAAAATGTCACTTTTTATCCCATGGGAAAAAAAGTAACAGGTACCAGTCAATTTTTTTCCCGAGGGAAAAAAGTAACAGGTACCAGTCAAATTTTTTTCTCAAAGGGAATAATGTATAGATGGAAAATGTTAAGATTTTCCCGTCACAGAAAAAAATAGTGTATTATACATGGGAAAAAAGTAAGATTTTAGCGCTCGCTAAAATCTAGTACCTATTTTTTTCCCTTGTATAATAAAAAACTATTTTTTTCTACTAACCTGAGAATTAAGTAGTCATTATTCAATCTATTTTTTTAAGAAAAAATTGAATGTCTCTCCCTAGGTTAATAATGGAAATAATGAAAAAATACCTCAGTTAACAATGAAAATGACGTCATGACGCAAGGATATTGTCATGAAGTACCAGGTTTCTATTGGTTCAATTTCAAACTGTCAATTTTAAAAAAAGCAGGTGCCTGTATGTACATTGTAGGAAATTACCGTAAGCTGTTGATAGAGGGCAGCACTTTCGCAAGAGAAAATAATTTGAGCACAGGTTTAAAAGCTATTTTTTATTTTCTACTAGCAGTAGTGAAAAAAATTGTTTATATTCCTCGGTAGAGAAAGTCATTATATACCTTACGCATTATGAACCTCGGCGCTTCGCACCACGGTTTATAAAAGCGCTCGGTATATAATGACCAACGCTACCTAGGTATATAATGTACTATTTTTTTTCATAGTTTCTCACAACTGCAGCTGAATGAAAAAAAATCGCAAGTGTGTTCCAAGATAAATGGAATTATCCCCATTGCTTGGGGACTGTACATGGAAAGCATATATACAGATTATGGCCCCTCCTGGAAGTGGATCCTACTACTTCACACAGATGATGATGGCAATTGCAAATGGTAACTACGAATTAATTTTGTGTGATGTTGGAACCAACGGTCGCGTATCTGATGGAGGAGTTATCGACAATACTATATTTATGCACAAATTACTTGAGAAAAGCGGACTTGCGGACGAGAAGAGAGCAAAAGAAAAACAAGAACAGGACCGACTACAGAAAATCCTTCAAGAATAAGAGGACCAGGGACAACTAGAACAGGACCGACTACAGAAAATCCTTCAAGAACAAGAAGACAGGGCTGGAACTCTGTAACCGATAGAGATCGTTATCCCTATCACTATGGCACTTGCTGTCTTCTCTCTTATCGAAATCAATAGAGAGGGGACGCCACTAGAGATAGAGATATAGATCGCTATCCATTACAGAGTTCCAGCCCAGGCGACTTAAAGAAAAAGAGGAAGAAGAGGACAAGCGACAGCAAAAGCAAGACCGGCTCCAAAAAATTCTGCAAGAACAGGAAGACAGACAACAGAGAGATATTGACAGGATCGCTGGGTTGTATCAGAACATGCAACAAGAAGTCAAAGGCAAAATAGAAACGGTTTGACAAGAAGTCACAGGCGAAATGGGGACGATCCGAGAGGAATTCGAGAAAAATTATAGAAAACTGGAGAAGAAAATGGAGAAAATTCGCAAAGAACCCAATATCAACGAAAGTACCAGGAAAATGGATGTATCGGTGAGCCCAATCGTACGCGGCCAACTGAAACCACCAACTTTTGACGGCGAAACAGCATGGTCCATGTATAATCGACAGTTTGATGCCGCTGCTAGTGCAAATGGATGGGATGACCAGCGAAAAGCAACATCATTGGTACTTGCACTACGAGGAAAGGCGCTTGAAATTCTTCAAAATATTCCCGAGGCAAAACAAAATGATTACGTAGCTGTTGTAGGAGCCTTAGAGCTGGGGTACAAAAAAAGGTATCTCAGTCAAGTCTACCAGAGTCAACTCAAAAGCAGAGTCCAAGGTACATCTGAGACACTGCAGGTACTAGCGACATCGAGACGGTGAATGGTGAGATTGGCGTATCCACAAGCTCCTGAAAACTTCATTGAACAGATAAATGTCCAGTACTTTATCGATGGACTAAAAGATACAGACCTGCAACAAGCACTAGTGATGTAAAGTTTTGATACTTTTGAATACCTGTACCGATTCGATACTTTTGATATCAATACCCGATACTTATATTAGGCACCTTTGGCGTGAATAAATACTCAAAAAACCTATATAAATCTTTTGAATATTCCCTACTAGAAACTACAATCGACAAAATGAAATACTGGTTGTCGGAACGAAATTTCGAAGAGATTTCTTCATGTTTATTTGCTTGGGGTAGCTTGGGCGACGCGACGGCGCGGCGTCGGCGGTATAGTTTCAAGGTAGTTTGTTCTTTTTGTCAGAGGTGGAGGCAGGTTTATACGTGTGTATATTTTTATGAAATAATTGTTCAAAATTTTAAAAAATATCTCCTAAACGGCACTGGGGCATGTGTATTCCAAAGTACCTATCTCAAATATAATAATAAATATAAATTAAATTTTACGTAGAATAATATCTAAATTATATTGATTTATTATATTATGAAACATTTTTGGAAACCTCGCCGCCTATGCTTCATAAAGAAAACGCCGACTGTTGATGGAGAATTATTTTTTGTGGTGGTTCAATTGAGAATAAATAAACTATATCTAAAAAGGGGTTTTTCGGCAACGGTTCTGGAAGTACATACTTTCCGAACGCGTTTTACTTAAAAAGTACTGTCTTTTTCAGCCTGGGCCGGGACAAAATTCCACAGGGCATTTACTCATGACTCGCGGACTTCCACGATTGAGATTGACAATTGATAATATTGACACGAGTAACTACTACGATGTGTAGCATTTTGGAATAGAAAAAAATTTGGCAGCATTGCGAAATGAAGGATGTGGAAAGGCGTGATTATTCAGAGGGATGATTCTATTGGTTAAAATCTGAACGACAGCACCAGTGGCGTACCTACGTGGTTATTAGTGAAACCCAAGAATTTTTTTCCTAATAATTTTTTTGGTTTATTTTCTTGGTGTTTTCGGTGCCACTGAACCCAAAGACATGGTTGTTATCAGGCGGTGTCAGTTGAGGTGTCAGTGAATATTCTTAGGTTACACGTTACACCCCACTTTTCTTCCCCCTTTCGTCTCTACCAAGTTACCACTTGCCAGACTATAAGTTTTCTGTCACAGTTAAAAATCGGTAAAGCGAAGAATGATTACTTTGGCGGGAGTAACGTGATTTTTTAAAACTTTTCTTGAATTTCTTGTATGTTGTGTGCAAAAAGCGGCAGGATCCGCCGGACCCCTTCGAGGCCCGAGACCCGGGCCTTGTGCGCGGCACCACTTGTACGCCCTGTTGCTACGTCCCTGATTTCCAGTATCCAATTTGCTTTTTTTTATTATTGAAAATGAAAATAATATAAACAACTGGCACTGCGTGCACTATAATATTGTTAAAATTTTCACTAAAATATTTAATGATTATTTCCATGAATAAACAATGTAATAAGTTTCAAATTACCATTTTCGCCTAGTTCTTCTCCTAGTTCAGTCCAAACCTAATACGCTCTCCCAAACCAACGCGGAAAATTCTCAACACCTACTAATATTCACACCGACCGCAGACGATTCGCAACAAATTGTTTTCACTGGGGTAAATAGACAAGTTCAAAGTGGCGCGGTTTTCTCCGATTTGGCTGCGATTTATCTGCGTTTTTATCCGCACGGAAACTCAGTTCGTAATCGAATGCGTTTTTGGTCCTATTTGCAGTAATTCCGCAACGTTATAAAGTGAAAAATAATCAAAATGGAACAAATTATTGAATAAGTTCGAAAGTACGCTATACTATAGGTTTTTTATGCTATATTGAGGATGACGTCACATTTAGTAAATTTCTGCTGCCCACCTAACAAAACTGTAAGCAGGGGCGTAACCAACAGGGGGGGAGACGGAGGAATCTCCCTCCCCAGGACGCAGCTGGCACAGGGGCGCCAAAATAAGCAAAGCGCAAAAAAAAGCTAAAAGGCAAGTTTCCGAGTAGGTAATTAATAAATACTATTTTACAACTATTATAATTCAGGAAGGATAGTATTTTTATGCTTAGCATGCACGGGGCAACGGAATCATCGGCTGGATTCGGTAATTGGAATTGCATCTGCAAGTAAAGAGCAAAATGAGCCAAATTTGACAGATGTTACGTGATTTGACACGTGAAAAAAGATAAGGGGTGGATAAGTGATACCGTGACGTCCGGAGATGCAATTACCGAACCCAGCCGCTGAGTCGATGCTTTCGGTGACGTACAGGGTTATTGGTTATGAAGTTCACTCCCTCTGTACTAAAATCGCAGCATATATAAAAACAATCAGCAGGCTAATTCGAGGTCTGTATCCTTGAATGGCGGCGTGCGCAGAAGAGATGCGCGTAAGAGTTAACCTGCTGTTTGTTTTTGCATATGCTGTGGTAAAATTCTGAGCAGATCTCGTGTGGTATACCCTATACCTTGAAAATTGACTTTTTTGCAACTTTGCCATGCTGTAAGGAATTTTCAATCATGGATTAAATTCAAAGTTGGTGTCAAATGATAGTTTTTATTACGCATGCATCATAATCAACGCTTATCGCACGCTGCAGCGTGCATAAAATGATGTTTATCTTCAAGCGTGCGGTAACTAAAAAATATTACACAATTTTGCGTGCGGTGAGTACCATATTACCGCACGGCGTGCAGTAATATTATTACCGCACGCTCTACCTACATAGGTACGTACCTTCAATTACCTACCAGAGTTAAATTACCTATCTATCACCTTAATTGTACTGGTCCACTGTCAAAGGTGAGTAAGGTGACAGACACACTTTTTTTTATAATTTTTTGAACTTCTTTCGGATATTTTGTTACCGCACGCTTGTAGATAAAATACTGTATATAATTCGTATGGTAATTAGGTTATTACCGCCCTTAGAGATTGCAAACCTCGCCTCACCGGCTCGGTTTGCAAATTTCTCTCGCGTGCGGTAATAACCTAGTTACCACACTTATCATATAATATACTATTATGATGCGTTTACCTTTTCAAAGGTTTGCTATAGAAACGTTCGATCTACCTTCATTACCTAGATATTTACCTGCATACCTGCCATTCAAATTACTACTTATCAAAATGAATGAACACTTTTATAGTAAATTATACCACGAGTCAATAATGATAGCTATTATTCCCGAGGAATATTTACGAACTGAGCCGCGTTAGGCGTTAGCGGCAAGGGAGTAACATTCCGAGTGAATAATAGCCATTATTGCGAGTAGTATACTCTACTTTATTTACGACAAATCAATTTATTTGAGATTTTCTGTTTAAAAACGCTCGTTGTTCATCCACCTTAATGCAAATAAACAAGCACCACGCGTTTGACACTGACACTTTCGAGTTTGCTTACACGTTTGCTTATATTATTTCCATGGTACTACTTATTTAATTTGAGAAAATTTGTGATTGGTGTGCAAGCGGGAATAATGACCATTAATCCCTGCGGGAATAATAAATGGCATTATACTGCCAAAATCACAAGTATAATACCTACATTATATATCAGTCGTAAATAAAAACATTTTTGAGATTATGATGCATTCGTAATAAAAAATAGCGTATGATATGCGTGTATAAGAGGGCATTTAAAGCCCTTGCGACTTAAAA